ACTCTCGAATCGTGAAGTGTGGGCATAATATACCAGCAAAGTCTTATGTTTCAGGGACAGAACTCAATCCGGGGAGGGGATTCTAGTGTTGCCCATATTGGAAGGTAATTTATGCATTATTTGTTTAGTTGGGGGATTTTATTCACAAACAACAGCTCACTTCATCTTGATTTATTTGTCAGGAGCCTTCAAAAAATTGTCTATTCTTGTGTTGGGTGGATCAACGTAATGATGAAGAGGAAACACCTAGCTCCAATGTGATTGTGGCAGATGATGAAGACATTAGGACGAAGTATGTTTCGATGGAGATTCATGTTACGAGCTTGGAGGAGAGCTTGAAACTTGCTGAAGAGAAAGCTGAGCGAAGGAAGCAGGCTAAAAAATGTTTGTTTGATGATTTAGTTAGCATTAGGGAGGAAAACACTAGGCTGGTAGGGGAACTGAAGTTGGCCAATGCTCGATTCTTGTTTGTTTTGTTCCTTTTCGTAGGACTGCTTGTAGGCATTGCCATTGCAGGACTGAAATGAAGTCTGCAAATGCACATCTATTCTGTAACTTATGGCTCGAGTTTATTTACGATGTTAGCAAACAATCATGTTTCTGTATGTTATTGAATCTGACGTTGAGGAATTCGCTTGTATGACAGTAAGTAAACAACGATAGCGTCATCTTATAAACATACCATTCAAACATCCTGAAATTGTTCGAAAAAAGATGATCAATATCATAGTTTTAACCATACACATACATAATTGTGTTGGTCAGTTACAAAGGCTGCCATTGTCTAGTTTTCCAAAATTAATCCAATGTTTGGGAATCTTACATGATTTCCTCCGGATATAAGGCAACCATATTTGCCAAAATAAACATGATAAACATAATATCCATAATCTACTACGTTAACTCTACATCCCCTAATACCACCCATTTACAACCACTTTCCTGCTGGATCGGCTGTGTCGGTGGTGGCTGTGATCCTCCTTCAGCAATCACCGTAGGCGTTGACCCGGTACCAAGGTTGTCGTATGGCCTGCCACTTCTCAACACCCTTCCTGGTCTATCTGGACCATTTAGTATCACATATGTGTTTCCTAAATCAGTGTGCAACACACCAATTCCTTGGTTGGCCTGCAAATAATTGAAATGAGGTACTATACCGCTAACATTGTTAAGTTTTCGAGTACAATGAAACGAAGAACTTACCATCCTAACTTCTCTATCTTGAGCACGATTGATGTGTGCTTCCTACCATGAACAAAGAAAAGAGCATTCAACGACCACTTTATAAGTTCATTTACGTGTTATCTAACATTCCATTCTATCATGAAAGCCAATTTGCGATGGTCCTCTTACCTGAATTCCGCCAACTAGAAGGCATGTTCTGGCATTGTGGTCAGCTTTCTTACACTTTGAACATAACCCTGGAATCACTTGACACTGCCGAGGGTTGACCTTCCTCATTTGCAGCAGCCCCTCCATCCCTCTCCTGCCTCCTTCGAACATCCCTTCCTCCACCAGTAGCAGCCCCTCCATCCCTCTCCTGCCTTCTTTGATCAGACCTTCCCATTCCACCAGTAGCAGCCCGTCCATCCCTCTCCTGCCTCCTTTGATTAGACCTTCCCCTTCCACCAGTAGCACCCCTTGGACCTTCAACGTTCCTGCTTCCTTCTCCTCCTTCCAAATTCTGCACATTTATCCAAACACATTTTATACTTCAACGATGGTTACAATTTTCACAATTTATCCAAACACATACAACACCAAACTTACCCGTTCTGCCCGAAGAACCGGACAAGTCCTCACATTATGGTCAGGAGCATTGCACCTCTTACAATGCATTACAGACCTGCACTTCCTCATAGCAGATCCATCACCACCATGTCGAACTGTCTCAATCTCCCCTGTTGTCTTCCTCCGTTGCTTCTTCGGACGTCCAGGTAAGACCTTGAATTTAGGAGGATAAATTGGGTAGCCTATTGATTCTGGCCAAGCTTGTTGGCCTTCAATGGTAGGAATACCAAATTCATATGCCATCTTGAACGGCCCAACAGTGTAGTAAGGAGACACGACTTCACTTGGCTCTATCCTCTGCCATTGAAGGCAAGCAATTGCATGTACACATGGAATTCCAGTCAATTCCCACGATCCACAGCTGCATGTCTTTTCGTCCATGTCCAACACGTACCCCTTACGGTGAATGGCAACTTCAAACTTCTCCTCCAAGCCTGGAATCACTTGACACATCTTGGCTAAATCCACACCCTTTCTAATCTTTTTCTCTATCCTAGGACAGAGGCGATCCCTCCAACCACCAGCTTGCACATTCTTTTCAACTATTCTGACCATGAGCTTACTACGGATACCCTCGAGCATGTCAATGATCCTATCCTCCCTCTCTTATAAGATATAACCATTGAAGGTTTCGCAAATATTACTTTCCAATGAATCACATCTGGAGGTGTGACTCATAAAAGCCCTGCAAAAGGTTTCTGGTTGATGATCCAAAAAATCATGAAGTAAAGATGGATCTGCCCCACTTTGTTGAATCTCCCCCATGACTTTGATGACTGCTTTGTAATCGTTGATGTTTGTTGCATACACAGCCTCCCAGTATAAGTCTCTATATGCCTTCACCCTATGGTTAACCTTCCAATTCGCGAAAACATGAATTGCACACTTTCTTAGCGATGCCTCAGGTAAGCAACTGTTTAATGCTTGCACAAGACCCTACAAACAAGAAGATAATGTAACCCAAATCTAATGCAAAGCAACATTCCACACACGACAAACATTCTAAAACACATATAAAACACGTCGAATATTTACCTTGTGTTGGTCAGATATGACTATCCACCCACGACCATCAATGGTCCTAAGATCTTGCTGTAAAATAGAAACAAACCACTTCCATGTTTCAAGACTTTCCCCTTCCACTACAGCCCAAGCAATAGGGAACATCCTGTTGTCTCCATCTTTACCAACAGCACTCAAAAGCATCCCTTTAACCTCACCTTTAAGAAAGCACCCATCCAAAGAAAACATTGGTCGGAAGCCCCTAGTGAAACCCCTTCGAAGCCCACTAAACCCAATGTACAACCTCTTGAACAACACTCGGTTGGGCACATTAGACGGGTCAACCTCTAGAATAAAAGTACCCTCTCTATTCCGCTCTTTCAAAGCACCAACATACCTCCTAAGCTTGTTGCCTCCTCGAAATTATAACATTATGTGTTTGCCTCAGCTCTAACATCATATTCTTTACCTTCCAATCAGGCTCCCTTCGAAAACGTTCAATGTACTTCTTAGCCACCCAAGTTGCATTTGCAACCCGCATCCGGACAGCCCTAGGACAAGTGTGATCCTTCCCAAGATTCTTAACCATAAACAAAGAACGAGCATGTCAACTACCATAGATATACCACCCACACTTCTGGCGACATTCAACATGCTTCTTATTCTTGTCACTTCTCGTCCACTTGATATCGGCTCCAATTGAGATGGAATGCTCCTCCACTGCCTCTTTGAACTGCTCTGGGGAATTGAAGCTCATTCCCACCGTGAAATTTAGTGTAGAATGTTCACATCTGGGGTCGTAGTGGGGACCGTCATAAATAGGATCAGCTGGCTCTTCGTCTAGATTCCCACGAACATGTCGTGAGTCAACTGAACCTCTATATTCTGATTCGGGTAGAGTTCGGTTTCCCACTTGTTCTGCCCTTTCATGTGCCATATCTTCAGCTTCGGGTTGAGTTTGGTTTCCCCCTTGTTCTGTCTGTACATGTGGGATAGCTTCAGCTTCTTCATCTTCACCTCCCATAGCTTGTGAGGGAACATCCTGTTCGGTCTGCTCATAATCAGTTACAGATTCCTGCTCCACAGCTTCACCAGTTGCATCTTTAGTGGTACGAACCCTCATCCGTCGTGCTCTAATCCCTTGATTCTCCAAAGCATCGACGAACTCATCATCAGAAGTGCGCACATCATCATCCATAAGATGGATGATGTCTCGATTCTGTGACTCCTCATCACCTTCTGTATCACCGTCATCACTGTTCCCTCCACCAGCTTCTTCATTATCTCCAACTTGAGTTTCTATACCTTCCATAAAGATCACGATTTTTCCATTTTCAACACCATGAATCAGTCCATCCATAACCTCGTTGCGGACCTTATTTCAACCAAACCATTTCCTAAATTATGCGATGGAGCCATATACCACAAGCGCTCGACCCTAACGTATTCAAAGTGGACAACACCAAGCTGTTGTAATTGGAAGTAGGAGATGTAGTCTAGGTCCATGTCAACTTCTTCAATCTTCCCATTTAGGTAGCGAGGAACCTCCTCAGAATAGTCCATTTTCCCACCATGGTGGCCTATCAATTCCAAGTACGTAGTCATCCTGCACGTTACATAACATGGTTACTATTACAAATCCTCGATTATATTAATCTAATCACAGTCTAGGGTCAATAATTTTCTACCATTAAAAGCATTCCCCAAAAGTTGCTAAAAGACAACTTGCAATCTAGCAATCCACAAACCCGTGACCTTTATGAATTGAATATTACAACTCCAAGACAACCAAATCACTATACATGGATGGAAATGACCAGAAGGTGCTTTTGGAATTGAATTCGTACCTGTTGCTCAACTCGCAAAGGGGGTAATTTCGTCTTCACGGCTTCGTCGTGGTCCCTGCTTTCCCCTTCTACTTCCAGCGAATCTTACAGAGCAAAGCCACTTCGTACCCACCACATTTACTTTCTTGTATGATTACCACCTTCCTTCCGCTTCCCACCTACTTAATTGACCTTCAAATAGCTCCACAACTCCAGAAAAACGGACACGCCCCTTCGCTCCAAAACCCTAGAAATTTTGGGCGAAACACAATTCCATACAGCCCGATACCTGTGCTAGTAGAGGCATCATCTACTCCTCCCAAGACGATGATACAAGCACTCGCGCAAGGTCGCCGACGATGATTGCAGAAGAAATCGAGGATGGGTGTCGAAGCTGCCGTCCGAAAAGGTTCCTCCCTGCCCGCCGCGCCCGAAGGTTTTGAAGCTGCCGTCGAGGATGTTCGTCCCTGCGCCGCGCCCGATGTTCGAGATGTTGACAGACTGCGGAGCTGGCGAATCGACTCCCCTCTGTTCGTCGGGGAAGAGAATCGGAGAATCGGGAGAACGGTTAGGGTTCTTGAGTTTTTTTGGGGGAAGTCGAGGGAGGGGAGGGGTAAATGTGATTCGGGTTCGGGTGAAACCCCGATTTCATTTAACTTTTTTTTTTTAATTTGACGTGTAAACACGGGCCCGGGTTTGTAAATAAAAAAGCAACCTAGACGGACACATCAGCAATGACCTGTCAAATAATTCAAAATTAACGGTCAACGGTAGTCAACCATAACGGAAAAATACTTTGGGACACAATTGTCGTATCGAATACTTTAGGACACAAATGACACAAAGTTAATACTTCCGGTTTCCTATTGGTATTAGCCCTAAAATAAAATTGCAATCCTTATTGGTTGTGGAACTTGATTTTAATTGTTGACGCTTTATTATTGGGATTCTCTTGTTCATCGATGAGTACTACTATCGCGATCCATTCCCCCACCTTACAGGTGTTCTCGGATTTAGCAAAATTCTAAAGAGATAAATAAGAGAGCAAAACCAAATACGAACAATGAAGTTATTGAGTTCACAAAAAAATAAAATGAAGGAACATAGCATTTTGTGTCGTTTGTTCAGATGATACTTATGTTCTTTTAATGGAGATAAATAAAATTTTCAATTGTCTTCATATTCAAACTTTATTGAAAAGATATAAATAAGTCGGCAAAAATCAAATACGGACTAAGAAGTTTGTTTCGTCAAAATTCTTGAGAGATAAAAATAAAAAAAAGGAAAAGAAAAGAGGATATTGAAAATGAAAATAAAAAGAGTTTTGAAAGTGCCCACATGTACATTATGATTAATGACCTTAGAGTTTATGTTATTTACCATAAAACCTCTTAAATGAATAGTAAAACCTATTAGAGTTGAAGTTTGTTTCGTCAAACTTCTTGAGAAATAAAAATAAAAGGAAAAGAGATATAAAGAAAAGAGAAAAAAAGGAAAGAGAATATTGAAAATGAAAATAAAAATAAAAAGAGATTTGAAAGGGCCCATAGGCGGAGGGAGCACCATTTGTCCTTGTCACGGGACAGGGGTAAAATTAGGGGAGGAAAAAAATATCACACCTACAATTAATATAAGGATGTTTTACTACTACATCACAATTAATAATTTGTTCATGACAGAAAAACTAGTTAATTTATTGGTTCCATTCATAACATTATTATTCGGCAATAGGTTGTTCATAATAAATTATCTCGAGTATTGGTGGAGACAAAAGTGCATCACTCATATTCATCAATTTATTTGCTTTGAAACTGGTTTTGATTCTACCTATTGCAACTATATGTATAGAAAGAGCATTTTGAGCTTGAACTATACTACGAACGAGTTTCGAAGTCGAATTGGTTATCAGGTTTCTAATGATTATATTGTTTAGTGGGATACATGGAAAGAGACTTACTTAAGAGTGTAAATAACGAATGTATTTTACATTTCTTTCAAAATATGAAAACTCGCGTGGTTGTTTATGCAAACAGTAATTGTATTTGTCGGTTATTTTTATCTATGAATGAATTATTTTAATATTATTAATTTTAATTATATTAATTAATTATATATTTATATTTCGAAAAGAAGACATGAGTAGTTTCAAATCGTTCCTCCGCCACTGAAAGAGCCCACTTGTACATTATAACGAATGACCTTAGAATTGATATTATTTACCATAAAACCTCTTAATGAATAGTAAAAAGTAGAACCATGATTCTTATATAAGAGTGTTACTCACTACAAGAAAAGTCTAGAATACCGACGGTCCTCTAGCGCCGGCCAGCCGTGACCGTCGTTATGTCACAGTTCTCGACAGGAAGTTGGACGGCCGATTTGACCGTCGGGAAATTATATTTCTTTCCACAATTCTTATTTCCCCCTTCGATACCAACAGGAAACAGGCCCACATTTTAGCTTTATTTTTCTTTTACTTTAAATATATATATAAAAAGTGCTTTGTCCAAACGAAGGGATAATTGAAGTTTCGAGAATCGAGAGTGCTAAAAGGTCTGTTCATATTTTGTTTCTTCCACAGTTCCGTAGCTTTCACTTGCAGCCGTTCAGATTTCTACTTTCAAAGTCTTGGGGCCTTCAATTCTTCGTCGATCAGAAACTCTAGATTTACCAGTCTTTCTCTTGCAGCCGTTCAACTTTCATAGTTCCTCGACTGATGTCCAGACGAGAAGGCCTATTGCTCTGACTTGACATCGACTTCCAACGAGTTGCAGATGAGAGATGCGACGAGGTTAGTTGAACTGAACTGTGCGCCGCCAACCTATGTTATCGATCACTGTAACTGAGTTTTGAGCAAACACCGTGCTCCAGTAATCTTAACCAAGGTAAGATCCAGAGGCGTTGATTTAGGTTGATTCTCCGAATCAGAGATTTTTCAAAACCCTAATTTTCAATTTCTCAATCGAGTCTCATTTGTTGTTTTTGTTAGTATCCTAGTCGAACATTGAATCCAAATCGCTATATTCGAAGATGTTCTTCCTTGACTGAAATTAAGGAATCGTGATGGGAAATCTGAAATAAAGTAGGAGAGGGAAAAGGCTGGAAGATCTGAAACGATCTCACTCTTTTTGGTAAACACCCCTAATCTCCTCACCTCAGCATTTGCTCGAAGTCTCTGCCAAAACTTCAAAACCTAGATTCAGCTCTCTTTTCAAATTCAATTTCTCTATTTACTTTGCCTGTCAAGTGTTCGAGAAAATGCTTCAACCAAAACGAAGTGGCTTTGTCTTTACCTTTTGATTCAGTTCTCTCTTGAATTGTTTTGGAGTTTTTCTCAAATTTTAGCTAATAATGGTTGAAATATGAATTCATTCACTCTGTTTGCTTCCATGAGCTTGATTTTTATGACTTTTAGGAATGCTTGTTGTGGTTATGTCCTCATTGTCTTTATTTTGAAATGTTACAGAGGAGAAATGGGCTGAAAGAGGCGAAGTAAGCCCGCAAATCTTCAATGCATTGATCTTGGAGAGGACTTGCTGATTTCCAGGTAATCTCTTTTTCAGGTTATCAAGTTGAATCCTTAACAGTGTTGATATGGAATTTGTACGGTAGACCCATGAATGGTTGTTATATCTTGTGCAAGTTTGTTAGTCTGCATGATGTACTCTGTAGTTTTCAATAAAATTCTGCTCATTCTTTAAGTGCAAGTCTTATACCTAAGAGTTCAGCTCAAAATTTCCTATGCAAACCAAACTCTGTGGTTTTCACGAACTACTTGCCAGATAAGTCAAACCACTGAATAGTTGTCAAGTTTTATTCGGTCATTTGAATCTCTACTTGGTAGATAAGTTTGATAACTATATTTGATCTAGTTTTGAAGTGGTGCTTCTATTTTGCATTATTCTTGAAGGCAGATTTGTCAAATTATTCTCTTTTTCTTTACGGGAATTTGTCAAATGATTATAATCCTTCTGTTGTGGGATTTTTGCTAGCTTGCTTGAATTCTGCAGGTTCTTAGCTTCAACAACGGTGATTGCCTTGTTGTTGAATGCCTTGAGTGTTAGCTTTTTCCATTTGTCTTATTTCTAGTACACTTAGAGATGTAGTAGCTAGAATGGAAGTAGCATTTTCTAGTTGCTTGATGGTGAAGTTGTTGTTCAAAAGAATGATCTAGATTTTTTTATTCTGCCTTAGACATCTGATTATTGTGTTGCCTTAACTTTTCTATAAACAGATTGAGCTTCCCTCATAAACTGATATTGTTAAGACTGGTAAATTGTAGGAGTTGAACCTTATTTCCATGGAACCCACTAGGTGAGTTGTCAATTCTTTGCTTGTTATTACCTTGACTACTGCTAGCATTCTTACATTGTCAAGAATGATTTATATTTGAACTGCTCACTACAAGAATGATTTTTTTCCATAGATTGCTGTCGTACCTTTGTAAAGAGTTATATTTGAACTGCTCACTACAATAGAAGGGTGACTTAGAGCTGGTAATCTTCATTTCTACAGTAGAATTCATATATAAACTGTACTAGTTATTTCTAAAAGTTCATTGGTTTATTATCTCCAATATTGAACCATGATGTTTACACCTTGTAGACATGGAAGATGATGTTCACCAAGCGCCAGCGACAAATGATTTAGTTACAAAGGTTTAGTTAATTTTGGCCAATCATGTTCCTTCTAGGTTCAACTTTCTCTGATTATCGTTTTTGACTTTTTGTTAAGTTAGAAAAGTACTTAGTCCATCATATCATTTCCATTTTGGCAGGCTCTATAAAGGGAAAGATGGAATTGAGCTACTCCTTATGGTGGTTGGGAAGTTGTTGGTTTTGTGCTCAGAGTCCATTTTCTAGGTTAGTTCGGTTTCTCCTCTGAGACATAGTTGTTGTTCTCATCATATTTAGGGGAGCTAGTATAGTAGGTAGCTTCTTTACTCTGTCTCCTTGCTTTTTAATACGTGAGAACACTGTGGCAGCTAGATGCATTTGACGTGAAACTCTAGGGATCATTCTGTGCTTATAAGTAGAATCTGGGTTGTTGATCATGTTCCTCTCTGTTGACTAAAATGGTGCATATTCTGTATATTGCCCTCCTTACTTTTATTGCATGAGAACTCTTGAGGCAGCTAGATGTATTAGCTAACTCCCAGTCAGGTCAACTGCTATGTGTTTATTATTTCCTTATGAGCAGATCTTGCGTTGCTCATGCCAATTTTGCAGGCAAGACTCAAAGTAATGGGAAAGAAAGCAAAAAATGACATTTTCATATCGCGGTCTTATGCTATCAATATTCTGAAAGAGGCTTGGAAGGTGGAGAAGAAGAGGATTTATAAGATCACTCTCTGTACAGAAAGAAATTCCAGAAGTCACTATATGGTATGTATCAATTCTTTCTTACTTTATGAGACTTCATGAACTTGAATCTAATGCCTAGTTCCTTTCGCACTTGGAAAAATTACTTGTTTCTCTTCATCCCTGTCATATGGAATCATGGATTTTAACTTGTCATTTTCATTGTTAATTTCAGTGTCCTGATGGTATCGCTCAGCCATCTGTCAAAGACTTATACTGGAGGTGCGAGGCAACTAAAGTGATTCTCTGCTCAATATCCATAAATTATCACTAATCTATTGTCTTTATCACTAATCCATTTTTTTCATTGCTTGTTCTATGCTTCAGAGCTATGGAACATGGTCTGATGTGCAAAAGGCTTGTCTTCTAGCTGCTGTCCAGGCTGACTTGAGTAGTGGCATAAAATATCTTACATTTGGAGACCAGATTTTATTAGGTTGGTGTCACCTTAAATCAGCTTTCATCTTAATAAGTCATCACCACGTGCTGATTCTTTCTTTCGTACAGTATTTTGAATTGCAAAATCGGTATTGGTGATGTTAGTGAAGAAATATCTTCTATGGTCTTTAACTGCTTTTTCCAAATGGCGCATGGAATTTATCCTTTGCAGGTCCAAAATATGCTGCTGAAAGTTGCTTTTAGCAAACGCAGGTGAACTTATTGAGCTTTTCCTCTGGCTGGCCAAACTCTTGATCCTCTTTCCTTCCTTTTATTTTGACAGTCGAGTATTTTCTCTAACTTACATTTTTCTGGTTGGATCATATAGAGTGAGTCAAGGGGGAAGGAGGTTTCAAGAGGAAATTTTTCAACACATGAATGTCCCTATTCCTCTGGAGCTAGCTATGTTAGTAGAACAAGTGAGTTGTTACTTTAAGTGAAGACTTTTAACCTGTGTTTTTTTCTATATTTTCAGCGTCTTCTTGACTCCACTGCTCAGCATTCTGCCCACTCTTCGACTGGTGGTCCGAGACAGCAGAGGTAGCACTCTTTAAAAGATACTACTTGATGCAATATAGTTGCATTCTGTTTACATTACTGCCATGTATATCTAAGTGTTGAACATAGTAATTCATGAGAACATAGTTTGAATGGGGTGTCTTTGCAGGCCAGGCTTCAAGTTAATGAAGTTCTTCGAAGAACATAGTATGAATGAAGTGTTGCAGAGCTGCAAGTTAATGAAGGACTGGATTTGGTAGTATAAGGAGTAAACAGGGACTGTAAGTGGAAGTTTTGAACTTTCGTATGGTGTAAGCTTTAGATTGTACGTTTACTACTGATTACTAGAACTGTTGATTTGCTTGTAGAATTGATGGATTGTTGATTTGGTAATTCAAAGTAGTATCTTTTGCTAAATGAGATTGGTTTTCTTAATTAGTTGGATTTGTCAAAAATGTTGATATGAAAAAAAATCACAGCACAGGGCTGTGATTATTAGAGCAGGTGACTCTTCTAAAAGCTGCTAATTTGTGACGGTTAGCAGACTTTAGCGACGGTTAGAATCGTCGCTAAACAATTTTTATTCATTTCTGGTATTTGAATTTAACGACGGTTATATGGAATATTGTGTCGGTTACGGCCGTCGCTAAATTTTGGCGACGGGCAACGCAACGGTCAGCGACGGTCAGTTGACCGTCAGTAAATGTTTTTGCGACGATTTTAACCGTCGCTAAAGGTTCGCATAACCGTCGCTAATATGCAGTTTTGTTGTAGTGACTCCAGCCCTTAGATTTAGAAGTTGTAGACGACAAAGGGGGAACAAAAGAATAGTAGAATTCTGATTAACGTGATCATCAAGATGAGAGCAAACGATACACTTCTTTTACTATGTCACAGCACGCAAACCACTGAAAAAAAAATCTACTTGTAGTAATTTACAACTTACCCTGCTTAAGTTAATCCATCAGATCTGCGACGCGTTTAGCTCCGGCAACTTCACGATGAATAAATGAAGCACTCCCACGAACGCATTAAACGACTAAATGAAGTAATCTGCTGTGATGCAGGAGGGTTTGGATATACCTTGGGCTTAGGCTTCACTTGGACTTCATTCACACTAGGGACAAATATCGAATCTGACTCGTGCCTGAAATGTCTTAGACCCAGCACCAGAGAGAGAGAGAGAGAGGGAGGAGAGAGAATTTGTGATACGGTTTCTCACCCTCTTCAAATGTGTTAATAACTTGATGTTACAGCTAATTAATAGGCGTCAATCTCTACTGAACGAAAGTGCAGCACTGCTTGACCGGTACTTGGAGTAGTGAATATATATATATATATGTGAGTGGAAACCAACATTAGAAATAAGGACTTGACAGGAAAATGCACACACATCACATGATCAGTTGCACACAAATGCAAATCAACATAGAAATGCCTCTTCTTGTTGTTACCATCCCATACATTCACAAAACCCTCCAGTTGCAAATGTAATGTACCGTATCTGGAAGGGTTGATTCCAGTATTTCTTGTGTGTTTGCAGGTACAAATATCATATCAAACCCAACCAACCACTTTCTATCAAATATGTAATTATAAGGTTGCTATCCTAATTTTTTGTAATCTGCTGATAAAGTTAAATCCACAGGATTGATTAGAAAGAAACTTACACAGGACGAAAAGCAATGGCATTTACAGGATATACAATGTCCTTTCCAGCCTCAGATTTTCGATGCCATACACTTGAATGCATATCTATCTGCAACGAGTTTAAATATATATTATATATTATCAGCAGAGCACAGGCGACTGAATATGTTTGATCCCATTAAACAGAAAACATAACTATGGAGGATGTTGAATCGTGTATCTTCTTGCACTCGTTTTCTATTTTGAGGACCTTTCTGTTATTTGCCTCTTTAACCTAATTGCCCTAGTGACGTAGTTGAGGGGTATATTAGGTGAGCTTTGTAACCGAGTGCTGCATTCTGCGCAGCTCATATTCTGCAAAACATAATAAGATAAACTGAGAGCTTCGGCTCTCCGTGGAGTAGTCTCGTTCTCACGGAACGGGGAAACCACGTAAATCACAGTGTTGTGCTTCCGCATTCTAGTGGATTTTACAGAGGAGCTCGATCGTGTGGTGTAACCAGCCAAATCATAGAGTGTCACATTCCAACCCTTTCAACAGACTGCATGATCATAGATAATGGACCCAGCTAGTAAGCCGAACAACAAACTAATTCGAAAATAGGATCTGACAATACCTGTACCATTCGGGTACACACCGTACGTGTTTGATATTTTAATCACGATTCAAATCATACACATTTACATGTCTACCTGCTGTGGCTACCACTACACGGTTTCCAACAAGCTAAGTGACAGAGAATAACAACCATCTACAAAAGCAAAAAAATTATTAACACATTCTGATTCATAGTGAAAGGAAAAAACAACATCAGATAGACAGAATGATGGGCATGAAAAATGGGTCACATTATGCTGATAAGTGAAGGATGGGCAAGAAAACTGAAGGCAAAAGATACAAAAACAGAACAAAAAAAAAAGGTACAGGAGCTGTTGGAAAATTTTACAGTATACAGAAGGTACAGTAGCTATGTGAATAATCTAACATTACATCAAAATAAAAATGATTCAAAGGTTTGAGAACCCAGAAGCTAGCACACCAAAGAAAAGAACATTGACACTATGTTTCCGAAGGAAAGGAGGAAAAAGAGGGGAGGGTAGGAAAATTTGGAGAGAGGTTAAGTTTGGAAGGGAGGGAAATTAGAGAGAATTGGAAAGAAAATGTTGTTTAATGGAGGAAAGCGGGAGGGAAAAAGTAGATTGGGAATTGTGATATGTGTTATTTTTTATTGATGATAGAATAGTTAAATAATTTAATTATGTGTTTATACTATTTACATTAATTATGTAATGTGGATCAAATTTGTTCTTCTTTGTTAATTTTGTTAACTATAACAAATCAAAAGATGGTTATTTGAATTAAATTTGTCAACCTATTACTAAAATTTGGTTAACTATTTTATTGAGTAATAACATAGCAACTAAGTATATAAACATACAACAAATTACAGATGCATAAATTGTCCAAAAAGCAACAGGATAATAGTAATTTTCCAAACATAAGGTCACATGCTAATACTAGAAGTACATACATTCATCCAAAATAAAGGTATCCTCTAATACTAGACATACATAATACAATACGTCCAAAAGAAGGTCACATAATAATATTAAACTAACATAAGTTCGTCCAAAAGAAGGCAACCTGTTAGTACTAAGTAACATGCTAATACTAGAAGTGCATAAATCCGTCCAAATGCATATGCTAATACTAGAGATACATAGTACAATCCGTCCAAAAAAAGGTCACCTGATAATACTATACTTACATAAGTCCGTCCTAAAGATGGCAACCTGTTAGTACTAGGTAACATGCTACTAGACCACATCAAAAGTCAACTTACCATAAGGTTTGTTTTTTTGCCAAATCAACAATGAATTATTGTCGATACTCTTCTGGCCAGCCAAATAAAGCCCTTGTGGTATCCGGATTTTTTGCTAGATACTTATAGCCATTCAACCTCATTTCTCCAGGAATATCATAGCGTTGCAATTCTGGGAAAATTTCTCCCTCTTTGTAGATGTGAGTCTTATGATGGTCGAGAATCACCAAAGACCTCTCTTTAATCTCATTTCCTTTCTCCATAGCCTTGGCAGATCGTTCAACAATCACATTACCTTTCTCTATACCTGATGCCATCCTGCTCATGTTGACAGCCATGACCTCAAATTGATTGGTAGATACATCTCCCATGGGAGCTTTTCTTTTGGTTCCCTTTGAAGAGGTAGTACCATGAGAGTCGACTGATGGTGGAGGATCAGGGTTTAAATGAAGATCTACCATCGGAGCTATATGCATTTGTGCCTTCACGAGGTGTAAAAGGTGAAGGAATATAGGCATTCATACCTTTAAGTGATACCGAACACGTCTGTATGATGTTAACAACGAAGCACGTAACATTAGCGCACCATCTCCGAGATTGAATTTCCCTATAGGTTATTAAAAACATTAATGAAAAGATGAATGATGCAAGTAATGGTGAAACACATACAAGGATGATTATGCTGCATGACATACCTTCTGGTATTACAAGCCCATGTGGTCTAGCCAATGCATCTTTTAAAATCCTTGAATCAGATGCTGTCCATTCCCACCCAGCTAAAACGTATAGGAATTGCAAGTCAAAGTTGCATGAAGCTAAAACATTTTGAGTAGGCCATTCTTTCCGACCTCTAAAACGAGTTTGACTGGCGCGATTTACTTTCACTCGAAAGTGTGTACCATTAATAGCCCCAATGCAATCCTAAGGAGATATGTATGCATACATCTAAGTATACATGATTTTGAAAGACACTTTAAGATATGGTAATATGTAAACAATGCAAGTAATGAATCATTACCTTGAAGTACAGAAAAAATCTAGAGTTACTGCCTATTACGGAGGACACTGGCGTTGTTGCACTAGGTTGATTCAGGAATTGAAGTGCTAAACTTATCACAGCTCGCAAGACATTATGAAAATGCTTACTGATAGTCCCAATACTTCGATGATAATAGAAAGCCAAATTGCGATACTTGCCACCAGTTTGGGCAAGAATAGACAAAAATCTTGCTACTTGCTCTTCCACTGTGGCACGATGATAATCTTGCAACACTCCTATACCCCGTAATTTTTCACAAAAAAGAGCGAACGCTTCTACCCCCATACGTAATGTTGCACGACATGCAACTCCATGGTTACGCAATTGTTTCAGAAAATATATTCTTTTATCCTCTCTTACTTGAAAACTCAACCCCCACGATCCACTGGAGGCTTGTCTATTTAATAGATGCAATGCATGGACAATGTAGCAAATAAGTTGTATGACACACATATCTCTTTGTCTCTGCCAATTTCCATGACAATTCTCCAACTATCTTGTTCTGTTCCATGCAAATCTAAAATCTCTTATAAACCATTAGTAATATGCTCTTCAATCTCATTTGAGTCATGAGCTTCTTTATCCATCTAATCAAGATATAAATGATAATTAAGTTGCTACGTTAATGCTATAAAATTTATTCAGCACACATTATTACCATCTCTACATTTACCGGTAGATGAAGGACTTTAATGGCTAAATCATGATGTTCTCTTTTCAAAGTCATGTTCTAGTCCTAACAAATAATCACCATGAAACGTCTTAAACAAAAGAAAAGAGCAACCTGTAAAAGCACATTCACAACAACCAGAGATCAAAGAATCAAAACCATCTTGTTCTAACAAAGAGAACAGATTCAACAAAAGGATAACTAGAGTTACAAAAACGGGGCGACAATGAAAACAACTAAATAGTTCGGTTCATATCATAAAGTGAGAAAAATCAAAAGCAGCAGCCTGGTTGCAACCGGTATAATGCAACAATGCAAACAGTAGGGCAACATACCTAGCGGCGTCAACAACGGATACTATTGTCCCCAAACCTCAATCCAGCCTAATGCAATCATAGAAGACCGGAACAACCGAGAGAGGGAAAAAATAGAGGCCTCCAAAGCAACAGCAACAACCTGTAACATACAAAATAAAAGTAATTTTATATACCCTAGCTTTTCTGATTTGGGGGAAAAGGGAAGACGATGTTTTATGGGGTAGAGTTTCTTACCTTGGACATCGGAGAATGCTCTGTTTTTCGCTGGCCAAATAAGAACGAAGCAGACTGTGGGAGGGCTCTGGTTTGGAAAAGAAGAACAAAAGTTCAGCAACAACCAATGGGATCTGTTTTTAGTTAGATGTTGGACTTTGTTGGTGATGGATAGATGGATATTACGGATGGAAGGAAATAGTGGGGTTTTCCATGGAGGGAATATATCGATCTTTGGAACTCACTACTCACAGGATCATAATCCCCAGTGAACCCTAGTTCTCTAATTTGGGGAAAAGGAAAAGAAAAGAAGTTTTGATTCAGGAAGAAATCAACAAAGAAAAAACAGATTACAGATCGAGATTACCCACAGAAACTGGAGAAAGGAGACCGATTTAGAAGGAAGAACGAAGAAGAGGAAGCTGCTCGCACAAGAAAAGAAAAAAAAAGAGAAAGTTGCGTCGATCTATGGGGAGACAACAGATTTTCGAAGAATGGAATGAATGTAGGATAGATTATGGGGGATGATGGAAATATAGCTTTCTTGCCATTATTTGTGCAGTGGGAGAAAAATGGCGGACCAGCTCTAGGGAGAACAAAGAAGAAGAAGAAGCCTCTGTTTTTTGTTCTTCCACTAGTTCGTATTCTATCTGCTAGTGGAGAAGGAAGAAGATAGTGGGGAAAAGAGAGGAGAGACGAGAGAGGGCAAATAATAATAAGAAAAAAAAAATAATGAGCAGGTTATGTTTTCTCTCCAAAATGGGGGTGGGTGGAACAGTAACCCTTTCCCCCCCTTTCCTTCTCTTCATCACTGTTCTGAATTTAGAAAACAGGGAAAAGTGTATGGGAATTGCTGCTTTCCTTCCTTTTCCTACCTTCCCCTCCTTTTCCTTTCCAAATGAACATAGTGTGAAGTTATACTAGGTAACGATTCATGTTCTGTACGTTTTCATTTAGACAGACTGTCCGTACAGGTGAATAAAACAATATCTGTATGAACTCCTCTTTCAATGATTACACTAAATCGCTAACCTATAATTACTAAAAGAACTCACTACAATAATGACTAACATTTGGCGCATAGCTCATTCATTTCAACTACAAGGGGTACGAAATACGAGGTTTAACATTAACGAACTTCCACCAAGCGAGCTAGCACAGGATTTTCCTTTTAGGCCAAAGGTTTGACACAGATCACACGAAACACTCTCACATTCTCTAATACAGTAGACCTAAAAGGTAGCTTGATTACTTAATATCAGGGGAAAGAGAATCAAGGTGAAGATCACTATACGTTGTAGGTCACGAAAAACTCCAAATTCAAGTTCGCGACAATTTGCAAAGCACAAGGGATAAGTATTCGGTAGTGTTGCGGCCCATGTATCTCGGCCATCTGATGCCGCACGTACAGCCCATGCACCTCATGCATGTGACTCGTTTGATGCCTCCACTCCATGTAAAACTCTAATGGAAACCCTAGTGACGTATTGTAGAACAGGGTATATATGTCTCTATAACTCCAAGGCTTCGGCAATTACTTGACATTGAGCATTAAAAGCTGCAGCCGGAGAATGTTTCTACTGATCGAGGATATCACGTTAAATCGTCTTGTTTCTCTCGTATTATTGATATTTTACATGGTATCAGAGCAATAAGATCCCTATTGTTGTCGTTCTACTATGGCTAGCAACGACAAGTCTACTGTCGAGAACACGCCGCTTACAGGGTCGGGCAAGGAGTATTGCGGCAGCGGCACCAATGATGTTTTCCCATTGGTTTATCAGCTGCCGTTATCGGATCATACGGGTCAGATTCTGGTCGGGGATCTTTTAATCTTTGCCAACTATGGGGAATGGGATTTGGACATGAAGGACGCCCTCTTGGCGAAATATAAGTTCGGTTTTGTTACTGGAGTCCTTGCTAAGCCGGCTGCGGGTCCCTAACGCGATGCTTGGATCCGCTGTGACGCGATAGTGAAGGGTTGGCTCAAAACCGCGATGGATAAGGAGATTCGAAGTAGCGTGCGGTTTGCCGAATCCTCCCGCGAAATCTGGGTTGATCTTCGTGGCCGTTTTGGCAAAGGTAATGCTTCTCGAGCCTATGAATTGCGTCGGCTAATCACTCTTCTACAGCAAGAAAAGCATTATGTTTCTGCTTTTTATACCAAACTTAAATCCTACTGGGAAGAATTGAGCGCCATTGCTCCCATTTCGAGCTGCGTGTCACTACAAAAAAGCTTATCTTTAGCGACGAAAATTTGAGCGATGGAGGTAATTTCGTCGTGAAGGTTAGGTTTTTGCGATGATATATTTTTTTCGTCGTTGAATGTCTTGACTTTATCAGAGAGGAAGTGTGATGGATTTGGCGACGATTTTTAAGCAATGGCGACGACAACTTTCGTCGCGGAAAATGCGGAGGATATAGCGACGACTACTTTTCGTCACAGAACAAGTTCAGCTAATGAAGGATAAACGACGTCGTTTGGTTTGTTGAACAGAGTTGTTTCTTCCCTTTGAAACTTGTGAGTTTCGCACTGCGTTTCAAAATGTTTCTTGCGCCTTTTTCTTTGTTGAGCAAACGACATCGTTCAAGGACATTAGTAATTTAACCAAAGCAATAAAGTTCAATCCCTTTCCCTCTTCCTATCTATCGTGTTCCATGTCTCCGCCAAAGGCCTTCTTTGGGAAAAAATCTCTAGCTTTTCATCGACAGCTTTCTTGTCCAAATCAATCCGACTCCCACAAATCCAGCACCATTGCCGCTTGCCTTTCATCATCGTCGGCATTGGAGGTCGTATCTGTTTATCCCGCCGCTCGCTTTCTTCATCAGCATCTCAGCTCCCATCGTCGACGGGACTCGCGACACTCAAGGTGGGATGAGTGCTCGAATAATCTAGGTTTTCACTAAGTTTTTCTCTTCTGTATTTCACTTTGGGTTTCTCTTCCTCATTTAACATGCACAACAGAAGCAGGTGTTATCAAGTCTATAGATTCGCCATTGAACGGCTTGGGAGCTGACGGGTTTCAAGAAATACGATAGTAGCAGAGCCTTTTTCCTGTGCTAGCTCCACTTCGCCCAGCTGGATAAGTGGCAAATTTCGTTCCTCTGTCTACTCTCTCTAAACTACAATCTCTGCTTGGGAAAGTGACCTAGGTATTCACTTCTCTCTTTCTCTTGGAACAGAAGACCAAGTCATGACTATAGGGTTCATGTGCTGATTAGAGTTTGTGTTGTGCGTTTCTCTTTGTGTTTAGCGGCTGGCTTCCACCCTGAAACCCTCTTGCGGTCAAGAAGCTTTGTTTCCTGTCATCTCAAGTATGCATTTTGAAAATTCATTGGAACAGTAATGATTTTGTTTATGCCTTTGTTTTGTAGTGATTGGTTGTCAAAGTAATATGCTTAATCAGTGGTTTACTCTTTTGTGAATTTTCTATCTCATGGATCCAAGTCTTGGTGGGTGTTTGCCCAAATTATAGACCAATTTCAATGTCATTAACACTAAAGTTTAACTATCATTAACACGATCTGTGTTGTATCGTGTCTGTTCGAAATCGACTTGTGTTTTATCATGTTCCAGATATGTATGTTGAATTAATTAAGCCCTGTAAATCCACATATGGAATTTAGGCTAGAGTCACTTTCGTTCTCCCTAATATATATATATATATATATATATGTCAAAGGCTAGCGTACGCCTAACGTACGCTATATGCCTGTGTTCACACTTATAAAATAATTTTTAATTATTTATAGTTTAATTACAATTATAGTAATTATTAATGTTAATAAATATATTTACAGTCACATCCATTAATTTATTTTGTCTTTACACTGTACACCCATAACATTTTTTTACCATTCATTATGTTTAAATCATGATCTAAATACTCCTCAAATAAATTATAATGAATCAAAAGTCTTCCATACAATTCACGTGCTATTAGTGTTGTTTTATATTTTGATTTGGGTGTTTCCCGATTAGACACCGGCGCCTGCGTGTTTCAGCTCCAAGGTGATGGGTTTTGATTTCAGGTGAGATCCTCGCCTGCTTTTTACAAATTACCACTGAAAAACCCTCATCAAATTTGGTTGGCAATCGAGAACGGGAATCTCCGTCGCTCGCCCCTTACTTGCTGCTTAGTATGTTTATTAAGATGTGGATATTGCATATGATGATTTGGATTGCACTTCCACTTATCCCAATTCGGCTGTCGGTATAGGTCTTAGACGTGAGTTGTATAGTGTGTCCCTCATCTTGAAGTTCTCAGTCGTCCAGGGAGATCCTGAATGTCGATTCCATTCTGCTGCCGCTGTGTCGAGGAGGGATTTCGTGAATCCCGCCCGTCTCTAGTGACGGAGATTAAGCATCTAGTCCAAGAGCTAATCCCTAACCTTTAGATTCGTATGGGTTTTCTCCTTTGCTAATCTTTCCTTTGTCCCTCACTTTTTTCTCGATTGTTATAATTGCACAATGATTTTTGCCATGGATTGGGTGATAATGTTTTTCTATAGTCTGCTTTCTTTTTCTAATATGGAATTTCCGGATGTTCGAATCGAACCATGTTTAGTATTCAATTGTCCGAGAAGTTTCAATTTTAGTTTCTGGGTATTGTTGGTTATGGGGAAATAGAGATTTGAAAATTTAATTGAAGCCTCACGTTTCAGAATTTGAAAATTCAATCGCACTCCCACTACATCATGCTTCCTAGGTGAATGAATCCGTGCATGGGGAAATACTATTCTTAATCTTCATTTATCAGTGGGAAGCCATGATCTGTCATTTGCTGTCCACTATTACTTTGGTGCGGTTAAATCCCCTGTTTTGGGTACTTCGGCATATGTGTTGAGAGATGGGAGTGGGGATTAAAGGGTTGCAGGAGAGAAAGAGAGAGAGTAATGAGAGATTGTAGTTGACGAGACTGTATGGGGTTGGAGAGGATGGCTTGATAGTCTCTTTGGAGAGTAGAACAATCTCATCTACATCAAATTATACAATGAATTAATTTAAAACAACAATTGCAGTTCTCTATTTTTATAAGAAATTAGCTGTTATAGATGATGATAAGAAGAAAAAATGTACTATAATTATTAACTTGAAACTTACATGATTGATTCAAGCTGGAAGATGGTAAAAAATCATGTGGGGCTAGATAGTATAGAAATATAAATTAATAGGTATGAGTGTAGTTATAATTATTACTAATTATTGATTTACTAATAATCAATTAAAAAAATTAATAAGTATGAACACATACTTATAGCGTACATCAGACGTACGCTAGCCTGAACCATATATATATATAGATACATCTAGTTATTACTTCCGTAGAGATGGAGATTCAGAGTAGAAGCACTTAGCTTTGAGATCCACGAGCAAACTAGATGGCTTTGATTGGCATACACTAAATCAAATTATGGCTTTGAGATCCTTAATTATGGCTAATGCAGTAAGTGCCAGCAGCTTACAACAAATGTTCACCACCTCTCATACTTCATCAACGCCCTTCCCTTCAGTTCGTGAACAGGTTGATCCCAACTTGAACCTTTTCTTCTATGGTATCTCTGCTCACTTTTCTCATGCTGATTTCAATCCCATTTTTGCTAACTCTCTATAGACTAAATCTGGTTAATGCTGCTCGTACTCAACCTGGTTAATTAACTTGGTGTAAGTTAGCTTACTTCAGCTGTGAGCCTGTGACTCATCAAGTTCCATCCACAGATTACCAAGGCTTTCTCGTTTTCCTTTTTGGGCCTGATTCAGTTGGTCTCACATTGTTTCTCGCTTATCTTGCTTATTTTTAACTTAAAGAAGGTGAAAGTGTGTTTTAGCTTTTAGTATCTCATAAGTTATGTTGGAAAAGTGTGTTTTAGCTTTTGACCCAATTTTGTACCAGCTGGATTTTTGTAAGCCAGTGAATACTTCGTCCTATCCGCATCATATTCACCGCACAAGCATGCATTATAGGTTTCTGTTGATTCCTTGTTTTTGTTTATCATGAACGTTACATCTTGTGATTGTTAAGCTTCCGTTGCCAGTTTCGGGACCTAAGGCGTTCCAATGTTTTTTTTTTAAATGTTTTTCAAATTGCCACTCATTTGCTTATGGTGGAGCTGTATAGGATACAGAATGAAGCATCAATCATATTCCATTGACCACTCAGCTACAAAGGTAAGAGTTGCATTATGAAATGCTAGAATGGCTGTATAGAAATACTGCATCATGGACATTGCAAATGCCTGAACGAGTCCTAAGCTGTTATGTGTTGCATTGATTTGTAGGTTAATTAAGGCTTTTAACACGAGTGAACTTTGATTTTAATAGTTCTGGATGTGATTTGAAATGGTTCCAATGAGATTAAATTTTGATTCTATTTCTATCTCCCAGAAAGCTTTTATGTTGTGATTGGCTTTGATATTGTGGGGGTACTTTGTCTACTTGCTACTTTGTAATGCTTTAGACATTGTTAATTACATATGTCTATCTTGTTGATTAGTTGTAGAATTTTGTCATGGATGGAATTAGGTGAGTTAGGAGTTAATATTTTTTTTTATCATCAAGGTTATGTTCACAAACTCTTTCCTTTGATTCACTTTTGCCTTGTTTTGCACCACAGCCGCTGCATAATCATTTGGAGGGAGAAACTTGGTGATGTAAACAAAGATTTGGAAGACCCACAAGAATGCTTGAAGATTCGTAGGAGCACTTCTACTATGCTATATAGTATTGGTGTTACAACTTGAAGTTGTACCATAACATTAAATGTATAAGTTTAGGTTGTACCATAAAAAAATTTGTATCATTATGTTATGGTACAATTTTACAACTTGAAGTTGTAACATCATATAAAGTACAAGTTTAAGTTGTACCATAAAAGAATTTGTACAAAAAGTATAGGTACAATCTGAAGTTGTACCATAACATTAAAAGTATAATTTCAAGTTGTACCATAAAGGTAAAAACCTATAGCACCAATGCTATATAGCATTGTAAAATTCCTCTACAAGTAGATATATGGCTGCTTCATTTTTTAGATTGTTAATTGTGCCATCTAGCTCAGGACACGAACAATGATATTTGTAGTGTGGGGTTGACTCGTCATCCGTTCGTTTGATCTCGTCGAGAGGGAAGAACCTGTGAAAAAGGCCGGGGATGCCTCCCGGATTAAAATCCGACGATCAAGTTAGTTTGTGTCTAAAGAAAGTTGAGAGAATAATGTAGAGACATAAAGTGTAGAGAGATAGTCCAAAGTAGGAAGTGAGGAGAGAGAAGAAGAGTCCTCCTTTGGAGGGCTTGGAAGCTCTTAAATAGACACGGCAGACACTGGTTGCGCGGAAGGTTGTGCGTCACTGCTAGCACGGATGGTAGTGCACCACAATACTAGTGCACTACCACTTAGTCTCATTTCAGCTTGGGCGTCACCGGTTGCGCGCCACAATGTTGGTGCACTACTACTTAGCCTCAGTTCGTGTTAGGGTTGGGTGTCACAATGCTGGTGCACTACTACTTAGTCTGGTTTTGGGCCAATTCTCGGTAACACGCCATATTACTGGTGCGCGACTACTTAGTCTATGCAATACGAGCTTAGTAACACCCCCAACAATTGTGGTTGTTGAATGATTTCGTTCATGTTTGTTTAATTCTGGATGCAGGCTAATCTTTTTTATTATTATGGTAGATGTAGAGCTACCTGCAAAAACTATATTGTATATATTAGTGGTAATTTATTGGAAATGGTTCAGCAGAGGTCTTTTTTGCTCTAACAGGTTACTAATTTAAAAGTCCATAAAATAAAAAGATTAGGTGTAATAAAGAGATATACACACTGAAAGTTCAGATATTAGCGACGAAGACGTATTGTCGCCAAAGCTACGTTTTCAGCGACGACATATACCGTCGCTGGCCTATTTGCGACAAAAGGTTCTGTCGCAGAAGTCAATTTATTGTGACGAATTTTATCGTCGCAGAATCCTAACTTTTCTGCGACGGAGGTTTTCGTCGCTCCATCACACATTCTACGACGAACATTTCATCGCGGAAAAGTAATCCTTTTTGCGACGGATGCAACCTTCAGCGACGATGTCTCAAAATTCGTCGCCAATACCAACGGCGACGCGGTATAGGCGATGGAACTTAAATCCCTTCAGCGACGACTAATTCGTCGCCCTTTCTTTCTGCGACGGATATTTACGTCTTTAGCAACGAATGTGTCCGTCGGTAAAAGGTCTATTTGTTGTAGTGTGTGCGTTCTTTGCACGTGCCAGGTCTCCTCCCGTGTTCGCAAACAGCGTGATAGTTCGGGCTTATTTGATTTGCTTATGGGGCTCCATGATGCTTTTTCGGCTTTCCGAACGCAGGTTCTTGCCATGAGGCTGATACCCTCTATCCATTCAGCAACTCGAGCAACTTCAGCAGTATTTTGGATACTCGCCGAAGACAACGGAGGGTCCCATCGCCAACTCGGCAGGTATATTTTCTTTTGACATTGAATGGCTATTGGATTCCGGTTGCAATGAGTATATTACGATGAATGAGAATTTGTTGTCGATCAAAGAGGTGGTCGAGCATGGTTCCCCAGTTCGTATTCCCAATGGGACCAGTGTTCCGGTTCGACATATTGGTAGTATTGTTTTTCCAACAGGGCTGGTTCTTCAGCGCATTTTGCGCGTTCCGGAGTACCAATGAAATTTGCCATCGGTCAATCGTTTTGTTCGCGAAAATCACGCAACATTAATTTTTCTTGATGGTTTCTGCGTGATCCAGGGTTACCTTCCAGGAGCTTGATTGGGAAAGGTGAACTGCAGGACGGTCTCTACTATCTGCATCTCTTTAGCACCAAGGATGCTAGAGCTTGCGCGGTGCACGAGGAGAAGAAGATTTCGGGGACCGTTTGGCATGATCGGCTTGGTCACCCATCGAGTGCAAAGTTACAGAAGCTTAGTTCTTGTTCGAGGGCCAAACAGACTAGAACTCCCTTTCCTTCTAGTGACATTCAGGACAAAGGATGTTTTGATTTGATACATGTGACATTTGGGGTTGTTATAAGACCCTTTCTCTTAGTGGTTCTCATTATTTTCTTACCATCGTTGATGATTTCAGTCGCGGTACATGGGTTTATGGCCCCGAATTTAACACTCATGTGTTGTAGGATTATTTTCTTAAGAAAGGTATCGTTCTGCAAACGTCGTGCACTGATACACCCCAACAGAATGGCGTGGTGGAGCGTAAGCATCGCCACCTTCTTGATGCTGCTCGCGCTCTCAGATTTTAGGCTGGTCTTCCGATTCGGTTTTGGGGTGAGTGTGTTCTCACCGCAGCTTATTTAATCAATCATATTCCGACTACTGCCACTGGTTAGACGCTGTTCGAGGCACTCTTCGGAGCGCCTCCGCCTTACTCTCATTTTCGAGTCTTTGGGTGTTTGGTTTATTCTAAAGATTAACATGCTGGTTTGGATAAATTTGATGAGCGCGTACGAGCTTGCATTTTCCTTGGTTATGAGGGCACTCAGAAAGCTTATTGGGTTTATGAGCTTAGCACTCGGATTTTGTTCTCCACACGCAATGTGGTCTTCCACGAGACAATTTTTCCCTTTCGGGAGCCTTATAGTAGTGCTTTGCCTTGGATTCCCAAGTCTGTTTTTGAAGCTCGCGACGAGGATGATGACTTCCCCATTCCTTACGTCGTCTCTCCTTCTTCTCCCGATACAGCTACTTCACCCGATGACCAGCTCGCCCATCTCGCCCTCCGTTTTGGCCTCTCCACAGCAGGCGGTCGCTGCTGCTCCACTTCGATACAGCAATCACGTGTGCATTGTTCCTCGACACTTGGATATCTATGACACTCCTTCTATTCCTGGCCATCATCTCCAGACCACTACTCCGAGCACCGCCTCCACAGCTAAGTACCACCTCTCGACCTTTGTTGCGTATGATGTGTCGAATTCTACTTACACTTGTTTCTTGGCAGTTGTTTCTTCGCACATGGAGACACGCTCTTTCCAGCAAGCTATGCAGGATCTGCGGTGGCGGGCATCAATGGTTAAAGAGATTCGTGCCCTTGAGCTGAACGACACTTGGAGCTTGGTCGAGTTACCACCAGACAATCAAGCCATCTCCCTGAAATGGATTTATAAAATCAAGTTTCTTCTCAATGGTACGATCGAACGGTTTAAGGCCCATCTTGTTTCCAAGGGCTACACCCAAATGACTTCCATGATACATTTTCCCATGTTGCTAAACTTGTCACCATACGTTGTCTCCTCGTTGTTGCTGTTAGTCGAGGGTGGTTTATCCATTAGATTGATGTTAACAATGCATTCCTCCATGGTGATTTTGAGGAGGAGGTTTACATGAAGATTCCCCAAGGTTTCGCCCAACCGGGTGATACCCGTGTTTGTCGTTTGCACCAGTCCCTCTACGGTCTTCGTCAGGCTTCCCGCAACTAGTTTCACAAGTTCACCACTGCTCTTGGCACTCTTGGTTTCCAGGCTTCACCCGTCGACCATTCTTTGTTTATTTATCAACGGGGGAGCAGTTTTGTCGTGGCTTTGATCTATGTTGACGATGTTTTGCTCACTGGCAATGATTTGATTTTTGCGGCCAAGGTGAAGAAGTTTCTCGATGATCAGTTTGGTATTAAGGATTTCGGCGAGTTGAGGTATTTTCTTGGTATGGAGTTTGCTCGCACGTTGGATGGCGTGGCTTTTTGTCAACGCAAGTACGCTTTAGACATCCTTGTTGATGCTGGTGTTGCGGCAGCCCGTCCCAGTGCATTCCTAGTGGAGCAAAATCATCGTTTGACTCGCCCCACTTTTGGCGGTGATGTTATGGCAGATGCTACCTCCTATCGTCGCTTGGTTGGTCGTTTGCTTTATCTGACGATCACCCACCCTGACCTCAGTTACGGGGTTAACGTCCTCATTCAATTTGTTTATGCCCCACAACAGGAACACATGGATGCTGCTACTCGCATCCTTTGGTACCTGAAGTCTACGCCAACTCAGGGCCTCTTTTTCCTGGCTAACAACGATCTCGCTCTCACCGCCTACTATGATGCTGACTGGGGTGGTTGCTAGAGTACGCGTCGTTCGACCACTGGTTATTTCATCAGTCGGGGTGGTGCTCCCATCTCTTGGCGCACTAAGAAGCAACGTGTAGTTGCTCGTTCTTCTGATGAGGCAGTGTATCGTGCCATGGCCAGCACGGTCAGTGAGATTATTTGGGTTCGATGGCTGCTTACGGAGTTGGAGGTTCCTCAGCGTCTCTCTACTCCCCTTTATTGTGATAATCAGGCTGCTCTTCACATTGCAGCTAATCCAGTCTCCATGAGCGCACCAAACACGTGGAATTGGATTGCTATTTTGTTCGAGAGCGTGTTCAGTCTGGTGATATTCATCCTCTTAAAGTTAGCTCTCACCTTCAACTGGCAGACATTTTTACCAAAGGCCTGGGCTTTGATCGCTTCCGCTTCCTTCTATCCAAGTTGAACGTGCGTAACCTACACGCTCCAGCTTGCGGGAGAGTATTGGATAGTGTTGCGGCCCATGTATCTCGGTGCACTGATGCCTCACGTACAACCCATGCACCTCATGCATGTGGCTCGTTCGATGCCTCCACTCCATGTGAAACCCTAATGGAAACCCTAGAATTTTAGAACAGGATATATATGTTTATGTAACTCCAAGGCTTCCGCCATTACTTGACATTGAGCAATAAAAGTGGCAGCCGGAGAGTGTTATCACTCTCTCGTGGATTAGTCTAGATTAATCTATTGATCGAGTATACCACATTAAATCCTACTGTTTCTCTCGTATTATTGATATTTTACAATAAGAAAATCAGAAACTTGCCTACGAACTAGATTGTGGGCACCAGCACTAAACCAGAGGAGTCATCGTGGATGCAACAATCAAGCACGACTCCACCGTGGAAGAACTCTCCTCGCAAGACATTGGCACTCACATCGTACAGCCTCACGCTCTACAATCAGACATCAATCTAGGTAAGGCCAAAAAGAGCGTAGAAATTGAGTCGATAAGAAGTAGATTGTTACCTTGTCCAAGGAGGAGACGAGGAGGTGGTCACTGTGGTTGAAGAAACGCAAATTAGAGATCCCATCGTAAGGTGGGTTAGAGAAATCAAGGCCGGATCCTGGCGGCGGGACGACACCAGTCATGGGATGACGTGGTGGTACGATACTGACAATTAGGATTTTGGGGAGGAAGTTTGGAAGAGGAGGAACGAGAAGAACACTGGTATTAAAACTTGATGGGAAGGTAGATGCAGAAGGAGGAGAAGGAAGGCGGCAGGGGTGGGGAATTTGAATTCAAAATTGGAAAGGAGAGGGGCAGAGGGAAGAATAATTAGATTCTACACATTGCAACCAGAAAGCAGCATTCCGCTATCTCAAGTTGGATGTGTTCCGTTGTGCTTAGGCCTCTTAATCGGTCACCCGTTTCTTGGTTAACCAGCTAACTGAATCGAAATTCTTGATTTTTCAGTTGCCCGAAAACAGAAACAACAATGGGGTTTGCGGCTTTGGTTTCCAGTTACCGGCGAAGAAGGGGAATTCTCGGTTAGCCGTGAATAACCGCGGTGCTCGTGGTTAATCACCGTAACCGCGGCCATTCTTCCCAAATCCCATGCCAAGCCAAAGACGGCATCGTTTAGTCAGGGTCTGACTGAAGGAAATCGCGAATCGAACCCCAATCCTAACAGCCCCCTCCCTGGGATTCTTTCCTTCCCAAAAACTCGCTCCCGCCGCTCCCTCCTGACCTCCTCTGATTTCATCCCAAAATCGAACCCCAACCCTCCCCGCCTCCAGTTGTCGTCGCCGCGACATCCTCGCCTCGTCGTCACGCCTAGTCGTCACCAAGCCTTCCTCATCGGCGACATCGCCCTCCCGCCTGCCAGTCATCCCGTCGCATAGCCGTTGTCGTCTTCGCCTGTCTTCCTCGGCTCCTCACCTTCTTGTCAGCTCATCGCACAACCGCCATCGCCGCCACCTCGTCGGACAGCCATTGCCATCCTCCCGCTCCTAGTAGGCAGAACTCGTCTAGGTCGTCGGCCGCCTCTCCATGCAAGAGGCTAAGAGCTCTTATGTTGTTTTTTGTTGGCTGTATTATGAATTAAATATTTGAATGGTGTATGAAGTTCTTTGTTTCTGATTTAGGGATAGAGGTGGATAGGGTAAGAAACCACGTGATGGTGTTCGTGGAAGAGGACAACAAGGAGAAATAAGAGGTGCTCCTCCGACTTCTCAGCCTAGGGTTCCTTCGCAACCTACTACTCCTTTTACTGGAGTTACTACAGTGGGAGTTACTCCAAATGCAGCGGTTGGAGTTGAGAATGTAGTAGCCATTGGATCTGAGATTGTAGCACGACTGGAGTGGAGAATGCAAATGTAGCAGTTAGGGAAGATCAATTTGCAACCGAAGATGGAGCGGGGAGTACCAATGATGCAACAACAAAGAAGGGGAAAGCTAAATGTTGCAATGTATTCACACCGATAATGGTCAATAACTACCTATTTAGTGAGTGTATATTATGCAAGGCGAAGATACCAGCACATCCAAAGTTTAGCGGGACTTCTCCAATGAATACAGATATGAACGCATGTGCGAGGAAAAGGCAGAAGGAGAGTGGGAGCTCTCAAACTTTGTTGAATTTGCAGCCAACATCTACAACTACTGTTGGTCAGGTAGGGTCTCTTTCGACATGGAAGTTTGACTAGACTAAATGTAGGATTGGTCTAGCTTAGATTATAATATTAGATGAGCTTCCCTTTAGATATGTCGAGCATGAAGGGTTTAGACGATTTATGGCATTGGCGCAACCCTTGTTTGCGATACCTGGTAGGCTTACTATTAGAGAAGATTGTTATCGCATCTTCCTTGAAAGAAAGGATATCCTGATAGATTTCTTTGTCACAAAATGCAAAGGAAGAATATCGCTAACCACAGATCGCTTACGTGATCGAGTTTTAAATTTATAAGTCGACGCACACTCTCTATTCTATCCTAACTAAGCCAAGCATAACCTAGCTAGGTTTGTAGTAAAGTGGCTCGGTCGTATTTCAAGGGAACCCTAAGCTTGTTATTATTTTGCTCCGAACTACTATCTAATAGAATCGGAAGGTTCGATGTTTAAACCGATCTAATATACTCCTAAAGGGAAAATAAATAATAAACCAAGTGGTTGAGAGAACGCTAGAGATGAGACGGTTTCCTAGGGTTCAATCCTCCTAGTCCTAGCTATGGTTGTCATGTAGGGTTAATCGAATGTGGTGAGTCAGTTCTTTTCCGCGGGCTTTAGTGGTTATCCAAACGCCTATTAGTACGCCTCCCCTAAACCCATGTAAGTCACCTCGATCTAGGCTATCGTATATGGGGCATTAAGCTCATAGCTTCTTTCAATAGGTACTACCCACCGTCCACACTGAAGTTTCATCCTCGGTTCTATCTAGGAATGCATTCCTATGGCAAGGGTTCGGTTGCCTTGACCACCATAGGATCCTATTCACACATCTAACCTCAAATTGCTTGATGACACATACCCGTCTAACTCTAAAACTCCATACCCAGTGTAGAAGCTCAAGTAGACTAGTAGAGAATATTAGGGCGACTTACCCAAACACAATTAAAGCTAGAGAAGCAATGAAATCAACTAGATAAACACATTCAAACACAACCCATTCATTCACAACCTATAAACTAGAGTTCATATTTCCTAAACAACCATTAGAGATTCAAGTCATAGAGAGAGAAAGAAAACACAAACTAGAAGAGAGGGGTTTCTAAGGTGTTTCCCTCTCTAAAAACAACCCAAAACCCTAACTTTCTCACTCTAGGGCGGCTCTCCCTTGAAAAGTGCAACAAGAGGGGTATTTCTAAAAAGCTGATGGCGGTCAAGGCCTCTAGGGCGTGACCAACTGGAACGTCCCCGAATCGCCAGAAATGACACTTTCTTATTCCATTTTAAACTCCAAGACCGTGGACTCCTTCATAAGATTCTGGCCGTGATCTTTGTGTCCCAAGCGCGATCTTTTTCGCGGTCAAAATGGGGTGCAGATAGTATAACAACACCCTTACTGTTGTTATACTAACAACATGATTCATTAAGGGTATAAGGGTAAACTTACCTAAAATCTAATAAAATTGAAATTAAAATATATTTACCCCACCACCCTTCTTCTTGTCCGATCCTGTAACTCGTATATCAATTTCTTCCGCCCCTCCCCACAGTCTCTCCTCCAACGCCGCTCAATTCTCTTCCGCTACCACTCAATCCTCATTCATCCAAGACGTATCGTCCTCCTTCTGGCGCCGACGCCAATCGATCGATTTCGAAGGTGCAATCTTTGATTCTATTCTGTCTCCTCTCAAATTCGCAATTTAGGCTGTGTAATCGATGATGATTGGACTGACGACAAGAACAGAGACTGGATAGGTGGAAATGGCTAGAATAGAGTCTTCTCAGGCGAGGGCACTACTGTAGCGGCAATCGACGTGGAGATTTTGCGATGCTGCTGCAAATCGAAGGTGACGTGAGGATCTTGATCAGAAATTTCACGGGGGAAAATGTTTTCTGGGCTATCAGAGGTGGCGGGCTGCCAACTTTGGGATCCTCTTGCCCTGGAAGCTTACCTGATGGATGCTGCGGGATCGTCTTCCAGCAACACCGAGAGGGGAAAATTCGTTGGACAAGCAGGTCCACAAACTTCTTTCCATGGCGGATCTACACTCCTCCTACAGGAAGAACGGGAGCAAGCTCTTCATCGGGCAGGCGCAGAGGTTTCTCTGGCGAGGACTCTGGCCAACGATTCGGAGGTGCTGCTTCTCGACTAGCCGACCAGCGTTTTGGATCCAATTTCGATGCAGAATGTTGAAGATGTTCTAGTTAATATGAGGAACAATCAGGGAATGACCGTTTCTGGTTTTCTTTTTTCTCCTTTGAAACTTGGTTTTGTTATTTTCGTTTTAAAAGATGGGTAGTGACATTTATGTAACTTTGTGTTTCTTCACCTGCTGCTGCTGTCGTACTGCTTCTCTGTTGCTTGATGCTTTAATATTGGGTTTGGATTACGTAGCTAATTGGTCTATTACGGCCACGAGAACTGACGCAATTACAAATCTCCTCAAGTAAGATATGAAACCGCACAAAATATACCATATGCATATCACAAACACGGTAAAACAAATACCAAAAAGCATACCAGAAATCTCTCAATACATATCACAAATTGCCTAAAACAGACAGGAAACTCCATAAAGCAAACCACAATTATTTCATAAGCACACTAGAAACCTCATAATGCATACCACAAACACGACAAAGCAAACTACAAAATGCGTACCAGAAACATCCTAATGCATGCCACAAATCTCCTAAAACATTCCTGAAACCTCACAAAACAAACCACACAATATTTCATAAGTACACAAAAAACCTCATTATGCAAACCACAAACACCATAAAACAAACCACAAAAAGTAAACCAGAAATGTCCTAATGCAGACCACAAATATATTAAAACAAACCAGAAACTCCGCAAAGCAAACCACAATTTTTTTAAAAGCATACGAGAAACTTATTAATGCAAACCAGTAACACGATAAAACAAACCATAAATATCATACAAAAACACGAGAAACCAAACCATAAATCTCACATTGCAGACCATAATATCCAGTGGTCGTTGGCCGGTCAACGAAAATTGTTGACCAAACTGTGATGGCAGTGGGTGACCGGATTCCGGCACCGATAAGCATATTCCGGCCCCGATGAGTAGATTCCGACGCCGATAGGCATATTCCAACCACGGTTATTGGATACCGGCGACGGTGGGCATATTTCGGCGACGACATTTTGGGCAGAAAATAAAAAAATATTTTTAAATATTTTTTTATATTTTATTATTATTTAAATATAATTTTCATAATGACAATTATACCCCTGCTTTGATTTTACACTATTTCAACTCAACTAATAAAAAGTCATCACATCCCTAGCTTCCTATTGGTTGAAGACTAGTGTTGTCACCCTAACAGCAAAAAGAGTGTTGTTAATTTAGGGGTGTTCAAACGGTTTGGTTACCATGGTAACCGTTTTAACCGGTACTATTTGGATAATTTGGTTTGGTTAATTTGGATAATTGGTTTGGTTTGGTTAAAGTTTTTAGCTTGTTTGGTTTAGGTGGTTTGGTTTGGTTTCAGACACTCCTAACCAGTCAAACCAAATTAACCAGTTAAGTAATTAGTCATATATCTAACATATATTATATACACATACTTAATACTTTGCATAACCACTCAAGAGTTAACGTTCATCCCTTTTAGACTCATAAAATATAAAGCTCAATATTGCTCATATAGTGTATATTTGTATATGTAAAATGTAGACCACAACATATGGATGCCTAATTTAGATAAATTTCATACATTATGATGGATGAAAACTTGAAAAGAAGGTAATTTCCAACCTATGATAATTGCTAAGAGACTAAGTCAATTTACACAAACACAACAATTCATTAACCCATACCATTGTCATAAATTTTTGTTAGGTGAATACTTCTATACTAATCGTAAGATAATTGTCTTAGTTGCATGTATTTTTGTTAAGGGTCAACTATAGCTACGTGTTGATTGTTATGTTTTATTCATTATATAAATTGCGAATTGTTGCATTAACCGGAAAATTTTCATCGTCAATGATAATGTGATTTTATATTGGTTAATTTGGTTAACCAATTAAACTTTAGTTTGGTTAATTTGGTTGTTGTATTAGTTTGGACGGTTTGGTTATAATATTGTATTCCATGGTTAATGGAATTTAGCCTTATTTGGTTTGGTTATAACCATGGTAACCATTTGAACACCCCTAGTTGTTATACTAACTAGTCCCGTCAAAATGCACCATATCCGCAATTCGATTAGGGAAACTTTCTGCCTTCTTTTTGGTCGTCTACCGAAGTTTGTGGCTACTGTTCACGGCTGCGATCTTTGGGATTTTTCCAGAAGTAGCACCTTTAAAAAAAATTATAAAAATAGCACCCAGTCCATAGAAATTACAAAAATGGCACCCTTTTATAAAAACCGCACCTTAGTGTTGTAGCTCCCTTACTGCTCTAGTGTTTTTGCGGTTAACGTTAACTCGTAAGTTTATTTTGTATTACTTTTTTATTATGATTTGTGATTTTTATGATATTAGTTGAACTATTGTTTTTTTGCAGATGGCATTCCAAAAGTTCACGCTTGGGTTACGGTGGAATGGTTACACGGAAGAGAGCGGAAATGGGGTCACCTACGTCGGTGGAAATTTTCAGAAAATAAAGGTCGCTACCAGACCGATGCTTGAAGACTTCTATCAAATGTGTACTAACGTTACTAGAATGGATGACACGAGAAGACTTGATCGTATGGTGTACCGATATCCAAACAGAGAAGGCGGGTCATTGTGGCACGAGGAATATCTCATAACCACTCAGGATGAAGTAGATGCCATGCTCGAATTCTTGAGGTCCAACAATCTTTCCAAAGCCGAGATGTTCGTTTACACCGAGCCGGTCGTAGGCGTTGGAGGTCATTCTGGAGACGATCAAACATCTAGTATCCATGGTGGAGGTGAATTATATGGAGATCATCCCTACCAAAGTTACCATGATCCTCATTCCTATTTTCAGTACCAAGAGCAAAGTGAAGGTCATCATCAATCTTTCTCCTCATATGAAGAAGTTCAACCGGACCATGGCAACCAACCCCAGTACAACTTCCAATCAGGTAGCGGTAGTCTTCACAACTACCATTATGGAGCTGATGAAGGTGTCTTTCATGAGCTGGATCAGATGGAAGATGCCCTGCCAGCACCAGTCAGTGACCCCTCCGATGAAGAAGGAGAGAACAACGTCAGTGCAGACAGCTCCGTCCCTCTTAAAGGTCATTGATACTGAAGCAATGACTCGGCATTTTGAATGGCACACAACTCATTCGAGCACGAAAAGGCTCATAGTCAGATGCTGTAATCATAACGAGGGATGCAATGTTAGGATTCAGGCCATCAACAGCAAGAGACACGGCCATAGGGTCATATCCCGTGTGGTTAACACACACACATGGGTGTCATCCATAACATCCCAGGGCCATCGACAGTTGAAATCCAGGGTGGTTGTTGCGGCTATCAAGCATCTAATTGAGCAAGATCCTGACCTGAAGGTGAAAGTCATAATCGCTGACATTGCAAGTCGTTATGGTTATATGATTAACTATAAGAAGGCGTGGCATGGAAAGCAGAAAGCTCTGGCCGCCGTATTTGGTGATTGGGAAGAATCATATGCATTCCTTCCTTGGTTGATTTTGGAATTGGAGGCGTCTAACCCTGACACTGTTTTCTCCCCTCGATACCAAGATGAAGAGATACAACCGCCAGAGCCAGGTAACAAATGCCATTTCAGACGACTTTTTTGGGCATTCAAGCCATCTATTGATGGTTTTGGCTTCTGTGTCCCTGTGATCCAAGTGGATGGTACATTCCTTACCGGCATGTACAAGGGCACTCTACTGATTTCCAGTGGGGAGGATGAAAACAAACAAGTCTTTCCATTAGCCTTCACCATTTTTGAGGGAGAGAATACTGATAGCTATGGATGGTTTTTCCAGCAAATTCAGCTCCACGTCACTAGGAGGACGAACCTGACAATAATCTCTGATCGGCACGTCGGGATTAGAGCTGCCATCTTAGGTTTGGATCCAGCCTGGAAGTGGTCCCAAAGGTGGTGCATACGACACTTCAAGAGCAACTGGAACCATCATTTCAAGCGGAAGAAGCTTGCTGATAATTTGTGGTGTATTGGTAAGCTCTCTATTGGTTGTTTAATTTTGTCTGATAACAATATCTTATATCAAATAAATGGTACACTTGTTAGACTCTTTCTAAAGAGATGCATGCCTAAGGAAATGGGGTTTTAAGCGATTATCATGGTCCTCCCATTTCCTGGGAAAATCGGGTTTTAAGCGATCCTCGGATCCCCCCTTTTTCTGTCAACCAGGTTGTATTTCTAAGGAGATGTATACCTCTCCTATGAGTCTAACGAGAGTACCTGCTGGTTGTTCGAATTGTACTAAATTGTCGAATTATGACTAACGTAATACTTGATTGTGATTATCTCAGCTGTTGCATACCAAGAGAAAAAATTCCAGGAGAAGTTGCAGAAGATGCGCGATTTATGCCCTGAAGGGGCATAGTGGCTGGATGGACACGACCTATCCATGTGGACATTTCATAAATACGGAGGTACAAGATGGGGTATGGCCACAACGAACTCAAGTGAGAGTATCAATTCTGCCTACAAGGGTGTTCGGGCACTCCCAATTTCTGCCATTGTGGAGATGACTTTCTGGAAAATGAATGGATGGTTCGTCAATCGACTACACTAGGCAAGGAGGAACGAGGCACAGGGAAAGGTCCATGCCAATAAAGTCAGAGAAATACTGGAGCATGACAATCGCAAGAGTAGTCGACATAGTGTAACCGTTATGAATAGGGCAACTGGCGAGTTGAGCGTGACGACCGGACACCGTGAGGATGGTAGACGCGGGGGCCATCGCCATGACGTTTTGGTAAATTTCAGGACAAAACTTGGTGAGTGCTCTTGCCAGAAGTATCAGGGGAGAGGGTGACCATGTTCTCATGCAATGGCTGTAATTAAAAATAGGAGCAAAGACCCCGGTCACTTCGTCAGTTCATTCTTCAATATCGACTCACTCAAAAATTGCTATGGACGGAGTTTTCGTGCATTGCCTAATGAAGCTTATTGGCCGGTGTACTCAGGAAAGTTGATCATCCCGCCGTTCTGACAGAGGCGTGAACCGGGTCTACCGAGGAAAAAGAGAATTAAGAAC